GTGCAGTGGATACGTCACACTGATAGAGTATAAAGAGATACATTTCAGTATGCTGCCGGCTCTGCTTATTCTGTCTTTCGTGCCAATGGCAGCTGCTCTCGGATCAGTCCAAGCTGTTGGTGTCAGGGGAGTTCTGATATGTCACGATAAACCGGCTGCTGGTGTGCAAGTCAAGCTCTACGATGAAGATAAGCGTAAGTGCAATTTACCACTTTCAGCACGCTCTATTGCGTTGCCGCTGAAAATTTGATGACAGTGATGATTTGTAGTCACTCAAGAGATAAGCAAATGGGTAAGGAGCCTGAAACAGGCGAATGGATAAGGGCCCTTTAACCGCTGATAACTTCTGCAATCTTACCCAACGCACTGGCAGGGCTACGTAAACGGGAGAGTGTTGGCGCAAACAACTCACACTTTGGGCCTCATTTATGCTTCGCGGCTAATGTGTACGGTTTGCGATTTGGGGACCGAGTCACTGTGACTGACTGCCGTTGCAGGGCTAGTCGCAGGACCGCTGCGACACTTGTAAGAAGTTCTATTTCGAGAGCGACTAAATACATGGTTGCAGCGATTCAACGATTAGCAATGAGAAGCGGCCATTCACAGTCGCGCAACTGAATCGCTCGAGTCGCGAAGTGTGAACGCGGCCTCACAGGGTAATGCTGGGTACAGGTGCAATTAATCGTTGCCAACAACTTAACCCATCGCTCTAGCGTTGGCAACCGGCAACGTAATGATGGGTCTCCAAAAATCGGAGAATGTGGATAGAACCCTCCATATGATCCGTTAAACATTTGAAAGTGATAGCTCCGAAGAGTCACCTTCATCCGTAGGCTACTGGTGTTAAAACTTATATCTAGCTTTGGCTCAGTAGCCTCGAGCCTTCTTCTTATCGTTAGACTCACTATAAGAGTCATGGCACGTCAGTTCCGAATAGATTGTACGTCACGCGGTTCCGACTTGGTTCCGACTTCTTCGATGACGTCGCATCCTTTCCCCACTGATAGCGCACTTTATCCGAGGTGACGGGATAAGTCGATCCAGCTTTCTGTGACTGGGCTAGGAAGCGATAGGCACGTCTCCAGAAACTGAGCTTGGACCTGACAATGAGTCTTGAACTCCTCCGACGTCTAGATCTTTCCGAGCGATTTTCTCAAAGATGTTATAAAGAACTTCCTTCAGTGTAGCACCTAGTGCCTCTTCAATTCGCGAGTGTTGAAGGCAGTGCGAGAGGGCGTCCGAGGCGTTAAGGCAGCGCTTTGGAAGCGCGTTCAACGCGATCGATGCGCATGCTTTCAGCTGCATTGATCGCGTCGAACGCGCGCCCGAAACGCTGTCGTCGCGAAGTCTGAACGCTGCGTAACGGTGTAGACAGTGACCTTTGACCGAGTCTGGCTACTAACAGACGAAAACCACCACACCTTCCACAGTAGACCCTCACTTAACAGAAGAACTGTAGATTGCTTTCAATCTTTATTATTTTCGCAGGTGTTTATAAGACGTAATAAATTCCTAGTGAGCCCCGACGAGTTTATGGCAGGAGGAAAGACTGACAGCAGTGGTCATTTCGAAATCAGTGGACATGCAAGCGAGTTCACATCGATAGAACCGAAACTCAACATCTATCACGACTGTGATGACGGCATCATGGTAAGTGGTCTCATCTGCAAACCTCAAATTTTCGTTCCTCAAAATGCACGTCGGAAAGTTCATTTCCCATCCTTTTGGGACTTCTGAGAAAACCTCTTCGACAACAGCTCCTATAGCATCTCGACCCTTGTCCCAGCGCTGAAACAGATGGGGCGAGATAGTTGCGCCTCTTTCGCACGCAAAGTCCCGGAGCAAACCCTCTATCGAACTTTGCTCTGGCCAGTCAGAAAAGAGGAAGTAGACGTAATTTGGAAAACTACCACGAAATCTGTCTCCCATCGTTTCATGGTTACATCGTCCGTTGGGTAGGGAATTCCCCAGGTGGAGCGATCGTATTGGTCGCTGGGGAGGAAAGGTCAAGCGTCCCAGTCCGGCAAAAACTTTTCACGATTGCGATTTTTCTTTTTCACGCGACTCTTTCTTTATAGGGAGGTCCGTATTTGCCTTTTGAGAGAAATTAGCAGTGTTGGGAAACATTTTTCCCGGTTGTTGACTTTGCGCGGTTTTTCCTGCTTCACATGTGCTGTATGACCCCCCCCCCATCCCCTCGGCTCCGTGTACAAAGTCATCCGTGCGCGTATGCGGCGCGGTTTCTTCGCGGCACCGCGGCGACGGGCGGGCGAAGGGTGATCGCTTGCGCCTCCGCCACTGTGCTTCAATCAGAAGCCCTTTTATGCCCCATTATGTGGAAGGAGGAGGAGAGAAAAGAGGACTGAACAAA